GCACGCTTGAAAACTGACTCATATTTATGATGGTTGAGTGTCCCAGGGTTATGCGATCAGGTTTTTGTGACTTTCTGACAAACAAAGTCAATGGGGAGGCCAGATTCACATAACAGCAGTGTTACTACTTTAACAGCTGCAGTGATTCACTTAACAACTGTGGCAAGAAAGGTCATAAAATGGGGCAAAATTCCCTTAACAAATGTTTCACTTAGCAACAGAAATGTTGGGCTCAGTTGTGGTTGTAAGTTGAGGACTACCTGTAATGAGTTTTATATTATACTGAGGAGGGGCAAACTCCAGAGACTGACACCTGTAGATAGTGTTAAGGCCTTCACAGAACCATTTTCAAGTGGTTTTCCTCAGCATATCCCTATACTTTGTCTGCCTTGGTGCTCCACCAGGCATCTTGTACTTTAGGCCGTGTATTCTGCACTATTCTACAAATGCTGTTAAAGGTGTTTTTCTTGGCAGCTGATAAGTCATTCTAACAGACAAGTCGAAGGTGATGCTTTTTAGGAAGTAACGCCTGTACCTCTTCATCATTCTCATTGAACCTCAACACCGCCAGCAAGATGTTGGTCAGCAAGCTTAGTTTTAAGTCTTCAGCCAGTGCTGAAGCTGTCCTGGGGCTCTTCATCCTGGCCCCATTAATCCTTTTCCATGGTCTTGCTTCCTAGTGGTCACCACTTGGGTTGGATGTGGAGCTTCATTTTGGAGACAATGAGCCTGTGATCTGTCCAACGTTTGGTACCACACGTGGTCTTGCTGACTCTGCCTGTCCTTTCTCTTGACAATGACATAATCAGTAAGATGCCAATGCTTAGAATGGAGGTGCATCCAGGAAGTCTTGTTATAGGTGCTTAGCAGAAAGCTGTTTGTGGGGATGAGGTCATGTGTGTACAGATCTGCAGTAAGATAGCCCATTACTGCTACACTTGCCTGTTCTATGTCTTCAAGTGGCTGCTTGCCAGGTTGCAAAATTGCACCCTATTCTTGCATTAAAATGCTGGATTAGATAGAATCAGGGCAAAGCAGTTTCAAATTCTTTCTTGTGCCAACCACTTATTCTGAACTTAATCTATCCCACAGGTTCTTATTAATCAATGATCATAAACAATTTAATTTATTATTCGCCTCTTGGGATGTCCATGAGACTAAAGGATTGTGTGCGCGCACGCATGAGAGGATGGGAGGGGATGGCACATACAGTAATTTACAATTAGAAACACACTATTTTGCATAATAGTTAATATTTGAAACAGGCAGACTATCACTTTGAAAGTATTTTTAAGCTCATTTTGAATGCCACATGACTGTTTCAAATGCCAAATATTTTGCACACCTTTGACAGAAGAGATTCTCCCTTTAAATAAATACAGAGTATTCATAATCAACCATCTTTTTCAGGCACTAGAATTCATCCAGTGATTTTGCATCCAGTGATCGTTATTTTAAAAAATGTCCAACATCTAACTTCCAAAACTTCTAAAACTTTTTAAAAACAAATTTTAAAATAAAAACTTGAAAGGCTGTATTGCAAGGTTCCACAAGCATCATCTGAAAGTATAAAACTTAAGGCATCCATATGTCATACAGCCAATCACACAAAAATTGGATTGCAGTGACGAGGGGATAGAAAATCAGCTTGCACCCACCTATCCCTCACACTGAACAAGGGTCAGAATTTTGTAACATCTAGAGAAGCTTCACCACTTACAGGTAGTCCTCGACTTACACCAGTTCATTTAGTAACCGTTCAAAGTTACAACTGCACTCAAGTGAATTGTGACCGTTTTTCATGGTTACAACCTTTCCAGTATCCCCACGATCATGTGATGAAAATTCAGATGCTTGACAACTGTTTCATACTTATGACCGTTGCTGTGTCCCAAGATCATGTTCATCATCTTCTGCAACCTTCTGACAAGCAAAATCAAAGGGGAAGCCAGATTCACTTAACAACTGGATTACTAACTTATCAACTGCAGTGATTCATTTAACAAGTGAGGCAAGAAAGGTCATAAAATGGGACAAAATTCAGTCAACGAATGTCTCAACAGAAATTTTGGGCTCAATTGTGGTCGTACGTTGAGGGCTATCTTTACTAAATTATGTCAACTATACATAATCACAAGAAGATCAGGAAGAAATCAAGGGATTTTCCTGGCTACAAACACTGAATGGACAGCATACACTATACAAGAGTTACTAAGGGAAACTTCCTGTACTTTGTGACATCAGACTATAGAAACCTTCAGTTCTCTCACTTGCAGTATAGGTATGTCCAACTATATTCCACTATCATTCTAGAATCTCAAATAAATATTTCAGAAATTGGCATTTTAACCTTTCTGACAAATCCCGACAAACTACATGTTTTTGACAGTTGAAATAGTACTGTATTCCTCTTTTAAAATAATGTTTGATGGCTAGCCTCTTTGAGAAGTGTTCTAAAAACTAAGGTTTTTTAAAAAAATGAAAATAAAATACGGAAAGCAGCAGGGTCTTCTGTACCATGACTTTTCTGCTTTCCCTGAAAGTTTGCTTCTTCCATTTCAAGACCAGCCATGGTTCATCTCTGTCATGGGCCTCCCTTTCTATATTTTTAATTCCACATTAATTCAGTATCATAGCCACAAAAGCTATTACGTCTGATGAGGGAATGGTGAGAAACATTGCTACAATGTAATAATCGTGGGTTGTACATTAAAATACCCCTTTGCCAAAGTGTAAATACAGCTGCACACATTCTTGGGGCCTTGAACTACCCTAAATGAAAAACAGTACCTTAAATACACAGTTTGACATTTGAAAAGGATATTCTATGGAGCTACTGTTGATGCCTGAGTAACAGTATTCTTTATTACTTATTTTCCTTAGGAACCTTTTGTGCCCACAAAATCTGATTCTCTTCAGAGACCGACTATTAAAAAGATGTTACAGTACAACAATCTATAATCAATGATGGTAGAAATGACTACACCTATCTTATGTCAGTAACGTATGAAGTGACTATATAAACAGAAGCAGAATAACTCTGGATGTTATGAGAATGCTATCTCTTCAGAGAAAAAGCAAAACAAAAATACTGTACACTCAAATCCAGCAAGGACAATAATATAAAACACAGGTGTCAAACTTGAGGTGTCACGTTGCTGTCACGTGACTTTTGTGGTGTTTTTCCCCTTTGTGGAGCTGGGGTTGGCGTGGCCTGCGTGTGACGCATCTGGTCCATGGGTCGCCAGTTTGATACCCCTGATATAAAGTATCCAGGCAAGACTATTGTGGTTTCTTATCCTAACATTCCCAGTATGCCTATATAGGCCAAGAAAACTTTTTAAGTTAAGAGTTCGTCCTTGTTTTAGTGACAGTTCACAACTGGAACAGTGATGAAAAAGTAACTTAATGACCAATCCTTGCATTTACTTCTCAAATCTGTAAAGCAAAGAAAAGCTGAAATAAAATCATGGTGCTGGTTTCACTCAGGTCCTTTGCTTAACAACCAAGCTGCTAGGCCATATTATGGACACTAAGTAGGACTACCTGTACAAGAAAAGTGCTTCGTCCGCTCCTTTTTTGTACACACTTTAAAAAAGCACTCAATGAAATCCAAATGCCATGGGGATGAAGTTAGCAGAGAATTTTAGTTCTGTCTTGCACCCACAGGCATCTTCAATCTTCAGTGAAGTCCCTCTCCACTGCCATATATTATTTGCCAAGTCTGACCCCTGAGAAAAGGCCAAATTTAAATACCCTTGAAAGCATGCAAAAGCCCAGACTGTGCAGATTCCAATACCGAGATAAAATATTTGAAAGGGTATGTGGAATAGTGCACACAAACACAACTGTGCATTGAAGAGAGCTAAAGGCCTAAATGGTCTTAAAACAGCATTGTTAATGAAACCATTAAGATTCACAACTGGATTACTGCAACCCACATTTACAGTGCTAATGAGTGAAAAGGTTGAAAAATATGGAATAAGCGTATTTGTATCTCAGGGTTGACATAAGGGGTCCTTGGTGCTCTCTGAGCTTGCTATTTTCTTGTAGAAATTTCCTTACCCAAACTAGGTAACACCATCAGTGCTACTGCTAGCATCACTATCACTAGCAAGCTCAGAAAGCACCAAGGATCCCTCAAATATGGAATATTCCTTTGAGAAAAGGGGCAACTTCTCATATCTGGCAGGAAGAAAACATGCAGTTACCTCGATGCCTGCCAAAAAGAAAGAAAAATGCACACCGTTTTAACTTATCCAGATGATATTCTGTATCAATAAAGAAGAGCTTGGAGGGGACAATAAAATTAGAACAAAGAAATAAAGAAGTAAAGAAATTTCAAGCATTGGTTTGAAATGTGACACACTTCATGGACAGCCCATAGTGTCTAAACCAAACTTTAATCTTCTTCAAACTATTTAAGCTGCAGAGATCTAAAATTTTAACTGAAAATTCAGAAAGACTAAAGGACATGCCACATCTCAAAACCAGTATCTGGGTCCATTTTCCTGCAATACTATTATGTCCCACCCCACAATCATTTACTCAATTTAACAATACAGTAGATCTGAGAAGTGCTCTGTATCTAATACTGAAAGATACCATCCTGTCCCAAAATAAAACTTTGATAACTGTTCACACATTTTGAAAGTAGAAATCTAATGGTCATCAGAAGCCCAAAGATCACAAAATCTTGCACAAAGCAGCTCAGGATTTTGGTCCCTAGTTAGAAGCAGGACACTCAGGCACAAAAAGACACTCACTCCATGCTACTGGATTTTTGCACTTACACGTGTGTGCCTGCACAGCACAACCATGTAAGCGCTCCCGATTCTGCTTGTGGAAAAGAGTTCAAGTTCACCATCCCTTAAGGTTTACCCACATCCCGAAAGTTACCCATGTAAACCTACCCAAATTCTGGGGAGTCCCAGAGACCAAGCTTTCAAACTTCGAACAAGTGGGCAAGGAAAGGACACGCAGCACTAAAAGCCACTCACCATTGTGTTGGGTCTGCACAGAGGTTGCAAAAGTAGCGCGATTTACCCTGATCTCTGGAGGGCTCACATACGCGCCTTAATCGATCCTTAGATCCCTTCTGATCAAGGAACCTATCCTTAATTGACTTGGGGGTTCAGACAGCCCCCACTGAGTGGATGCTGGATCTTCTTGTTTAGGAAGTTTGCAAATGTATATTTTTAGAATACTTTCCCCGTCACCCACCCCCCTTCTTCCTCCTCCTGCTTCCCCTCTGTGACACCCCCCCAACTCAACTCTGCCACCCTCACTTTAATGAGGGTGGCCTCTGACCAACAAACGATTTTATAACCCTCGGTCAATATCAGACACACCCCTTTAGAACCCCGGCTACCCAATCAGGCCCATTAGAACGGAGGGAGTCCGGTCCACCCCCCTCCCTTCTGGGGTCCTCTCCTCGCTGAGAACCGTTGACAACCAATGTCCGCGACAGTCGGCAGCCAATGGGGATAGGCGTAGTGGGGAGGCGGGGCCATGGAACTTGATTGGAGGAATTTGAATATGAACGCTTGGGCAAAGTGGCGTTTAAAGGGAAGGTGGTTTATCTACTAACGGTTATGAGAAGGAACTAGACGAGGGGCGGATTTCAAATTGTTCGATTGATGGGAAGCTTTGCCAATAGCATGCAAGCGTGGCCGAAAGGCGCTCGCGTAAAAAATCGCAATTTAGGTGGCCGTGCAGCCAATGGACGACGACGAACTGGCCAACGAGGAAAGCCTTTTTAATCCTCTTATTCAAACAAAGCGGGCAGGGTCCTAATTGGTCAAAGGAAAAAAAATAACCCCGCCCACCAGGCAGAAGACGCATCTAATTAAAACTGAGAACGAAAAAAATAAATATGTTGATACAGTACTGATAATAATGCACAGGGTGGGGGATGCTATGAGGTCTTGACAGGAAAAACAACACACTGCTCAGGCACAACCATTCGGGGTTTACACACGTCTCCCTTTCTGAATAGGATTTCTTCAACCTTCCTTTGCGCTGGGACTACAACTCCCAGAATCCTCAGCACGATTGGAAATGGGACAGGTTGAATTTCGAAGTACCTGAAGGGCTGCAGATTGGGCAAAATGAATGAAGTTCCAAATTCGTTCCTCTCCTACGATACCTTGAGCAGCTCGTCCCCAGCTTCTTTTAATATCTCACAGGAAGACAAATTATGCAAAACAAGACTTGAAGCCAGATATCCATTGCACCGTGTTTGGAGATGCTTTGTCCACCTCTTGCATTGAAAGAATATATAATTAAATTTACATTTAGGACTATCAGGTCCTCTTTCCCAATGCAATTTTCTTTGTCTGGCATATTTATCCTATATGTTTGAAGTGAACAGAGAAATGCAGCACACCATTAGTGGTGAGTTACAGATAGTCTTTTACCACCACAATTGAGCCCAAAATTTCCACTGGTAAGCGACATCTATGTTGAGTTTTGCCTCATTTTACAACCTTTCTTGCCACAGTTGTTAAGGGAATCAGTGCAGTCGTTAAGTTAGTAACACGGTTGTTAAGTGACTCTTGCTTCTCTATTAATTGACAGGAGGTCGCAAAAGGTGATCATATGACCCTGGGACACTACAAACGGTCATAAAAATGAGGCAGTTGCCAACCCTCTGAACTTTGACCACATGACCATGAGGATGCTACAATGGTCGTAAGTGTGAAAAATGATCATAAATCATTTTTTTCAGTGCCGATATAACTTTGAATGGTCACTAAATGAATAATTGTAAGTCAAGGACTACCTATATGCTTAGAGCAGTATTTCTGAGCTATAGTGATTTTAAATTGTGTGGACTTCAATTCCTATGCTGGCGGGAGAATTCTGATAGTTGAAGTCCGCACAATTTAAAATCACTAAACATTAGAGTGAAATGGATTTAGGTTTTCAAGGAACTCTTCAAGGAACTCTTGAAAACCTGGCATGAAGGACAAAGGACAATGTGACACTAAAGGACAACATTACGAATTAATTGGAAACAAAAATAGCAATGACATTCAACCCCTCTTATTGGGAACATGCTCTGAATTTCATAAGTTTCAAGAAATATTCATAACATTTGCATAGAATGCATGCCTCCGTAAACAAACATTACATTGATTTTACTGTGCAATAGGGAAAATGCTATACTGTTTAAGTTTTTCTTCCAATTAGTATAGAATTCATAATTTGTCATTCTTGGAATAAATTGAATTAAAGAAATTGCAACTTCCTGGATAAATTTTGGACACAGAAATAGAAAAAAATCTGTCTGATGATGTCTTGGGAGAGTGAATCTCATATCAAATTCAATAGGGTAAATGGATTAGTAGATTGCAATGTAGGGCAGAGCAAATATTAACATTAGCTGGTGTTGTCATGTACAATGTACATATAGCATTCTGCCAGTGGTGAAATCCGCTACCACTTCTGTGGGTGTGGCTTGGTGGGTGTGGTGTGGCTTGGTGGGCATGACAGGGGAAGGATACTGCAAAATCTCCATTCCCATCCCACTCCAAGGGAAGGATACTGCAAAATCCCCATTCCCACTCTACTCCTCTGGGAAGGATATTACAAAATCTCCATTCCCACCCCACTCTGGGGCCAGCCAGAGGTGGTATTTGCCGATTCTCTGAACTACTCAAAATATCCGCTACCGGTTCTCCAGAACCTGTCAGAACTTGCTGGATTTCACCCCTGCTTTCTGCCCAAAAATCTTTCCAAAAGGATGACTTTTTAAAAATTGTTCATAAGGTCTACCAAGTCCAGGTTGCAAAATTCAGGATGATCACCAGATGGCACATTTTCTGTCTCTCTTTGCTGAGTTCAGATGTAAACTAGATTTTTGTGGCCAATGTCGCATAATCCTGCAATAAGGCATATTCATACCTTCCTAATATAGAATGTAATAATAGAATGTAGAGCTGGGTTTTTAAAATAGTCAACACAGCTAAACATTCTGGATAAAAGAATTTTAAAAACATGAATGATACTCATAATAAAGTGTTGTCCATTGTACAAAGTTAGCACGCACCCCTCTCATAGAAGAATGAAATATTTTGGGAAACGTTAAAAAAGCAGAATATTATATTTCTCCTAAAAGAGAAATAGAAATCTTAAGGGAGACAGAAACTCAGCCCCAGCTCCCTGCTCCCAGGAGATATTTGGTGCCCATTAAGAAAGACTGCGCCATCCTATCCACAAGACAAAAGAACTTCAGCTCCAGGGGGATGGGATTAAGACATGACCTTCTAGGATTTAATAGGATTATCTAGCAGAAGACACAGAGCCCACTGCATTGCAATCTCCTAAGGACATTGCATCATCCAGCAACTTCAACCAAACTTATCTCAGACAAACATGGCCCCATGGGAGTCTGATAACAGCCAATAGAATACATGTTATTGCACAAGAACAGGAAGTTCAAGTGCAAAGCCCAAGAGAAGGTATAAAAGCCACCCTCTCTTAACTCTAGGTGGTCAGCTACCCAGAATCATACATGCTTGGTGGTTCTGCTTCATCAATAAATGGACCCTCTTTCCAATCAGCCTCCAGCCTCCATTTTGTCTCCTGTGCCATTTTTCCGGCTTGGAACTGAACCAGATGGATATTTCTACCAACACCATAAAGTCTAATTGATATTATTCAATCACAGATTGCATTATAGCCAACCAAGTACTGTTCTTGTTATACCTTTCCTATCTACAGCAATGTTGTTCATTGTTCATCATGTGCTAATAAATAGTTGCGATCTTCGTTTGAGAGTGTTCAATCCTAGTCCATCTCAATTTGTTGATGTCTAAAATGTCTACAATTGTTTCATTTAATTTTTCTTTGTTTTGAGATTTCCCTGTTCATGCTTCTTACATTCCATGTTCCCGGTATATTTTTTGCAGCTTCAGACTTTCTTTTCTTGTACAGTTAGTACCACTCATTCAGCGACTATTCAAAATTATAATGGTGCTTACAAAATAACTTCATGGTCAATTTTTGACCTTTGCAGCATCCCCCACAATTACTATTATGGTCAGTGCATGTTGTCCTGTGCTAATCTGGTTGGTTTTTTTTTTCTCTCCTACTTGCAGAGCAGACAGATTGGAGAGAAAGGGATCGCAAGAAAATAAGCTGTTTGCTCTTCTGCACATCAAAAGCAACATGATTGCACTGGCAGTGGAAAGGGTCAGGTAAAGAAAAAATGTGCACATCCATGAACACCCACTAGCAGTCAGATGATGAAAGCTATTTAATTTCACAACACATAGACAACTTAACCATAGTTTCAACTGAGAATCTGTTACCATTCCCAGATCAAGCTAGGTCCAAAATGCCAGAAAATTCCTGGAAGTCTGGCTCTCTTACAAATCAGCCATTAACAGGCACTTTGGCATAAACAACATCTGCATACCATTCAAAAGAGACAATCAACAAGCCAAAACGGTAACAAAAAAGATCTAAACACCTCCTCACTAGCAATCAACACCCAGATGAGCAGAAACTACCACCAAAATTAACATTAGACTAACAATAAGGAAGCAAACAATAACCCCAATCAAGGAACTGCCAAAAACTAACAGTAAACAGCCAACTAAAGAACAACCAGGACCACTCCTACTAACACTAAAAGGGCAAGCCATTAGAATATTTTAGAAATTGAAAGCAAACCTGACTCGTACTAACACTGATGATGTTACCTACTTTGGTAATGAAACATCTGCAAGGAAACCACCAAGGCCAGAGCCCACCAAGGACACCACAGTATAACCCTGAGCTACAAATACTGTCTTCTAAAGGAGATATTGCTTACACAAATCACTTGCTTCACTCCTCCCCACCCATGTCCAAAGAGGAAGATATTTCAAGTGAGTACTGTAATGTTTGCATAGCGTGCCTGCAGCTCCCAGTCCCAGGCTGCCCGAATGATTGCATTGCTTTCGATGTGAATACAACAGTAACCAGGCTTTCAAGAATTCCAAAGGATGGGTTAGGAGACAAATTAAAGTGAAAGTTTGAAACTGACTACAGGTAGTTCTTGATTTACCATGATTGCTTTTGTGTTCACAGTTGTGACAAAAGTTGTGACGCACCAAAAAAGTGACTTACAATTGGTTCTCCCACTTCTTCTGCCATGTCTAGATCAAATTTTAAATTGCCAGAATGAAATCACCTTCTTGTTGTTTGCCAAAAATAAATAA